TGCAGAACTGCAGTCAGCTGAAGTAGCCTGCAGTGCTGCATTTAACCACTGAGCCACCTCAGAATTCCTAGCCAAAGTTTCCATCTATCTTGGGAGGAATAACTGAGGAGGATGTTGTGCGTTCTAAGGCAGAGCTTTTCTGAGCCCCCAAGACAAAAATAAAGAACCTGGAGACTGCCAAGAACTGAACTTGGGAGCTCAGCTGTACAAAATATGGGCAAGTGATGGCCACTCCAGGATTTGTTTTGTGGCACACAAAATCTTTTGGAAAGAATCAAACTGGAACCCCCACTTTCAGTGCATACCAGACCGTCTTGAAAACTTGGGAGAACAGATCAAACTGTTGTTTCAAGAGTGAAGGACTCTAGAGATTGAGGGTTCACTGACAAAAGGGCGAACGACAAAAGCACGCCCGACTAAAACGCGGTGACAAAACCGTGAGTTCTAAAGCGCTCCGACGAATGAGCGCTGAATCGCGCCAACAGCGTGGCAACAGAAGCGCGCTGTAAACCTCAACCTAACCCTAAACCTAATCCTAAACGTAACGCTAACCCTAACCCTAAACGTAACGCTAACCCTAAACCTAACCCTAATCCTTACCTTAACTTAAATCGACACGGTGTTGTAAATCGCCCTTCTGTCGCCGCGCTGTTCTCGTCACGTTGATGACATCGCAGTTTTAGCGACGCGCTTTTGTCGGCACACTTTTGTTGTGCGCGCTTTTGTCGGGTCACGGAGATTGAGATGCCCCCTCTCAAGTTAACAAAAGAATCAATTTCCCAGGGTAGCTCACTCAAAATAGAATATATTGAGAAAGCTCCCAAATGCTAGCAAGGCTCCTAGAAAGTAATGTTTTCCATTGCAGCACCTATTAGAGGTTTGGTCCTACAATGTCATCCCCTTCCGTCAGCACAGCCAATGGCCTGATTGGGTTTGGGAGACAGCCGTAGTCCGACACACCTTTCACTTTATGAACTTAGCAAGGCAGCTTGGAGGGGGTGAGCCTCTTCATCACCTTGGCCTTGGTCTTCTGGCTGGCTGATCAGGAAGTGCGTCTATCCATCAAATCCTCTGGACCCTGCCAAGTTCCATTGGGGCAATACTCCTTGCCCTCCTTGTGTCTGGCACAGAAAAGGCCCAGGCCACCCGAGATATTTGCTTGAAAACTTATAGAGGATGAAAAGAAAAAAATCACAAAACCAATATGGTCATTTCTGTAGAACTCCTTTAATTGCCATTAACGGCAAATCTGTAAAATGCGAAGAGAAAGTCATAATTACAAAACTAACAGCTGTTAGAGTCACTTGTTCACCCCAACTAGAAAACAGTCCAGGGAGATATATAATTTAAAAATGAGATAATATTGCACACAACCAAGAAAAAGAAAATAAAGTAATTACGATGAAACCAGGGCCCTCGGATGTCTCCCAGCACCAATACTAGACTTTAGAGCAGAGGTCTTCAAACTTGGCAACTTTTAAGACTTGTAGACTTCAACTCCCAGAATTCTCCAGCCAGCTCTGCTGGGAGTTGAAGGCCACAAGTCTTAAAGTTGCCAAATTTGGGGACCCCTGCCCTAGAGCAATGTTTCTCAACTTTCGCAACTTGTCACAAGTGGGAATCCCTCCGTTGATGGCACAGCATCTCGGGGTGTCTGTCATCAAAGCGCAGCCAGCCCACAGATCCTACACGGTGGAGAAACGTTGCTCTAACGCTACCCTCTATTCTGTTCCATCACCACCAACACTGAGATCTGAGGGGTGCTTTTCCAAGAAGCCTCTTCCTCACTCATTTACCTATCAGTTCTTCTAGACTGTCCAGTAACGAGGCCTGGTCCAGATGGGCCTATTTATGCATTTACACCCTCCCTAGGGGTTGGTCAGCCCTTTAGGGGAAATCACCAGTTTCTTTCAAGACAACAGATATTCTCCCGATCCAGAAAGCTTAGTTTGATATATCCAAAGAGTAGTTTTCTCAGGAGAGTGAGGGAACTGGACCTTGTACAATGCAAATATTTTTTAAAGCACTAAATTATTCCAGAAGTGCAAGCTTTCATTTGGTTTGCCATGGAGCCCACTCCCAGCTGTCCTTTTAAATCACAGCGGCTGGAAGCTCTTCAGACTAGGCCGTGTTCATGGATCGCCACACATCTACCCACGCTCCTTCAATTTCAAATGGCCACTTGCATGCAGAGGAAGCCGCTTTCCACTGGCTGAATCACATCCTTGCTCACATTTCCCATGGATGACCAACTTGGAAATCTTTCCTCCTCTTTAATGTCTAGTTTTGGGGCTGACTCCTAAGTCAATTGTTCTTCAGACAGGTACTGATTTTCATGATCTGGGGGCAAAGGGGAGCCCTGAAAGCCAGTCTTTTGTCTTATCAGAAGCTCTTCAGTGACTGAGACTAAAGAGATTCCACAGGCACCATGTTGCCCTTCTCAACTCTGCACACGGAGTCACCTTCTCAAGAGGTTTCCTCTCTCAGCTGCTGCTTATAACAAGAAAGAGGAAAGAGAAGAGCAGCAGCAACTCCTTCCTTTCTCTCTGGCCCTTTGGGAACCCATTTGAATGTTGCTCTGCGGGAGGGAAAGGGGTGGCCTGCACACGGTCAGAGCAGCTGCTGTCATGCAGATGCACTGGGACAAGAAGAGGTTGGATGGCTCCAGTCTGAATCCATCCCAAAGGAGTGAAAGCAGGGATCTTGGCCCACTTCAATGAGCCAGCTGGCACCGGTTCCATTCGAATCCAGTTGGGTGTGTTGAGGAACACCTGTTGGTGTATTGTATCCCAAGAAGAGAAATCTGCCTTTGGGACCCATTTTTTTAAAAAGCATGATGAGTTCTAAAGTGAGACTTAATTATAGTCAGACTCCATTGCAAGGCAGCAATAGCTAAATCTGAAACAGATCAAAAGGGGGGAGCATCACTCTGCCCCCCATTTTCCCTAAAAAAAAAGAGAAGATGCCTGTACAGATTATAATTTAGAGAGAACATAGATAAGGAAGCATCTTTGACAAGGGTGGAGAACAACCAAAACTCTCAACACAAGCACACTGCTTCCCAAGGGTTTCTATCTATGGAAGAGGATCTACAGATGCTCCCAACAGCATCAATGCAAGGGGAAGACAGTTATGAAGCTTTGGCAAATGAAGATGCTTCCGGGAAGATCCAGGGTGCCTCTTCCTAATGAGGCAAGGGATATTTGAGTCCAAGCAACACTGTAGAGCACTAGCTCAAGGCCTACCCCACACTGGGGCCCTTTCAAAGAGATCTTAGCCATGATTGTGACAACCCAGGAGGAATGCCCTCTTTCCTCTTCCATAACTGGAATTTATGCAAGATACTCCAGGGGATTATATCATAGCCCCAGAACAATAATTCCATTTGTAAAAAGTACTTCACTTCCCAAGAAAAATGGACCAGCTTACATTTGGGGGCAGGAAAAGAGAGATGGTTTCATTTATGCAAAAGTTAATTCCAAACCAGGCACTATGAGTCTTGGGGAGTGGGGGAGAGGTCTGTTGGGGCCAAAATGCCTCACCGAGTTTCTTCTTAAGACTGGAGTTCCCACAGGTGAGCAAAGAGATTTGCTCTTTCAAGTCCTTAGAAGCTGTGTGAGTTTCTAGACATATAACATGGCATAGCTAGCAAGCTATCAGTCTGAAAACAGATAGGTAGGACAATCCTAGTTATTTCTGAAG